GTTCCTCGGGGACCAGATTCATACAAAGCAATCCGGAGCAGAAAAAGGAGTTTATACCGGAAGGGGAGCCGGCGGAGCGGCGGGCGGTGCGGGAGGAAGTTGAGACGCGGGGAGAGGACAGGTAGAAGGAGAGCAGGGCTTCCGGGGAGCGCGCCGTCGCCGCCGTACCAGGCTGCAGCATCCTGCGAGGAGGCAGCGCCAGGTAACAACACATAGGTAAAAAAACAAGTTCGCGGAAGATATCTGATTTTTGAGAGCATCAGCTGACGGCGATGGAGTTATTTTCACGTTTAAGCAGCGTATGTTATCTGCACAGACCGTGAGATGGGTCCGACTGGCCAGGCACTTGACTGGTGTAGACAGCAGGGGAAACGTAAATTAATTAGAAAGTTGGTTTTCAAAAAAAAAAAAGGAGGCTTTAATTTTTTTTTTCGACTAAAGGGATTTATTAAATTTTTCGGTTGGCTGCACTCAGTATTGCCATTGACGGGGCTTGGATTCTGCATGAGTCCACCCACCCGTCGGCGAGGGTGGAGGAACAGGGCGGGTGCAGGGCGCACCAGCCTGAGGGCAGGGTGGGGCGGGGCGCACCTATACCGGAGGGCAGAGGGCTGAACAAGGGTGCTGCCGCGGTCCCATTACAATGGCCTGCTCCTCTACGAAGGAAAGAATTCAAAACTGCGTGAAATAGGCGGGAAAGTTTAAAACCAGGCGCGTATAACGACTGAGAATAAAATGCTCGGCGGAGGAGGCCGACGCGTACGTATACCGGGAAAACGGGAGAAAACGGGGCTCTGCTAAAACTGGCTAACTGGCTTGCTGCTGCCGACGCCGCACCGCACCGCCCGCTTCACTGCACCACTTCAATCACACCGGCCTGCCTGATCGCTCTCTCTCTCTCTCTCTCTCTCTCTCTCTCTCTCTCTCTCTCTCTCTCTCTCTCTCTCTCTTGCTCCCTCTCGCTTCCTCTCGCTCTCGCACACATGGGTGATTTCACAAATAAGATGCATGTCGGTGTCCGAGAATACAACTCAGTTGTATTTCTCCCAATCGTCACCGTAGCTAAAACGAACATATTATTACCAAAATATAGCGTGTCTGAGACTTGGCAAGGCCATTTAATTGCTTTCGAACACATTCCATCACCATTAAATATATCTTAAACTTCCCTAGCAGACGGAAAATGCGCTGTCCCCGACTCCGCTTTTCTTTACTTTTTCGTTATTATCGCTCGTACATTATTGAACCTGGTCAAAACACCAATATTTTTCGTTCATTAACTCTATGATGCATCGCATTACTACTATATCGAGGTCCCAAATCACCAAATACACGAAAAACGAACACTTTAAAAAGTGTCACCAGGTTTGTCAGAATTCGGATAACCGTTTCAGTTATCTCATATTTCTCATAAGATACAGCGTGCAGCATGCCGTGAGCCCTCACCGACGTCCAGAAAAGTAGTGGGAATCTGGCGGCCAGGTGGTTACAAGGTAATTATAATTTTCTTCGTTGTAAAGTCAGTTAAACTAACCCTACTTGCGTGCGTGATAAAACTACAACCGATGTGCTTATCTTGAAATACTTTCATGTCAGTAAGTAGTTGGTCGTGAAATATGTGTCGGAGAAGTACCGGTCGGGTTTCTTAGCTGTTTGGAGTGTAAATCCGTTATACAAAACAATATTTCTTTAGATATTTGAGTTAATCATCGCTTGGTCCCCACTCACTCTCCCCTTTTGTCACTTGTACTCACACTTTTAGTTCTTTTTTTCGCAATTTTGACTAATTTACATTTTGTTTAGGTTATGTGACGCCTAGCCGACCTGACCTACGACAACCCAGCTGCAGCCATGCCTACTGACAAGTAAGATATGCTATTTTGATACAAAATAACATTAAAAGATGCTGTCATAGTGGTGTGTTTTCAGACATATTATTCTACATTATTGTTGCAGGTCAAATGTTCCAGTGAGACGCTCCACTAGACAAAGAAAAGTTAAATCTGAGCCTGACTTTTTGTATGGCAAAGATGCTCAAAGGAAAAAAAGGATTAAAACCACATCTCAAAATCAATCCACTGCCACTTCCAGTAATGTTAATAATCGTCAAGGTTTAAGAAGTACTAGTGCGAGGAGGCAAAACTCTGTATCAAAGAATATATCTAGTCATAATAGTAGTGATACTCCAAAAAGGAATTCTGAAAAGAAAACAACGGAATCAAGACAAAAGAAGCAAGGCAGAATTGTCAAGCACCGTCATACCTCCAAACTATATAGAGACTTACAAAAAGCCAAACAGGAATTGCACGAAGAAAAAAGGAGGGCTGAAAGATTTAAAAGAAGATTCCTTAGACTAAAACAGAAAATGGATGATGAAATAGACACAAAGAAGAAAGTCAAAGAAATCATAGGGAAAAGAAATGTTCCGAAAGACATCACTAATTTTGTAGAAGTAAGTGTTGCATTACAAGAGGATTTGACCAATTCATTTCAATCTTTGAAAAGTAGAAAGGAGAAAGGAAAGCTTATAAATTGTTTACAATTTGAAAACTTACAAAGTGTAAAAGGACTGAGCAAGGGGACCCAGTTTTTACCCCGAGGTGCACGGCGCAAGGTACAAACCAAAGCCAAACCTAATGCTGCTCATCGTGTAAATCAAGCAAAAGTCCATGAGTACTGGTTGAGTGACTTAGCTAGCACTGAATGCCCTGGAAAAAAGCAAACTATGACTATAAAAAAAAAGAAACATCAACTGAGATACATGAATGCATCCAGGAAGAGACTTTTCAAGATGTTTAAAAATAATAATCAAGACTCAACTGTGAAATATGGTATCTTTTGTAAATACAAGCCTGCTTGGATTGTCCGCCCCAAAGTATCAGAGAGGGACACTTGTTTGTGCACTAGCTGTGAAAATATCAAATTGAAGGTAAACTATTTATTTTCTATGGCTATATCTTTAATTTTACATAGAGAATTTTGTTTTTAATTTTTCTTTTGTATACTTTAGATTGCTGCGCTGCATAAGCATGAGATAATAAATGAGAATGACGCTGACAAAGCATTGGATTCAATTTGTTGTGAATCTGGTAAGGTGGAGTGTTTGCTGCGACTTTGTTCTCAGTGTGTTGACAAGAAGTTAAAAGTAAATGAGTTTGAGCAAAATAAATTCATTGACTATGAGGTATGGATGAGCATTCAAGAGAATCGAACCAATGCTAAGACCAAAAATGATTTTACAGTTAAAAGAACTGTTTTGCAAACTGTCACTACTTCTCTACAAAATCTTGTGAATGCAGTAACTACAGATATTGAAGAGCATGCCAAACATATTGGGAGGCACTACCATCAATATCAAGCTGTAAAGAAGAAACTGGATAACCTTTCGAATGAGGTCCTTGTACTGAAAATTGACTATTCAGAGAATTATGCATGCAAATATTCAAAAGAAGTGCAAGGGGTACATTTTGGAGCTTCTCGCAACCAAGTCACGATTCACACAGGAGTGAAATATACTAAAGATTGCAAGCAGGCTTTTGCAACGGTATCTCCTGATCTAGCTCATGATGCCACCGCAACCATGGTCCACCTCCAACCAATTCTCAAAGCAGCTTTAAAAGAAAACCCAGCTGTGAAAGAATTAGTAATTTGCAGTGATTCTCCTAGCACTCAGTACAGGAACAAGACAATTTTTGGACTGATCATTCAACACTTTGGTGTTGAATATCCACAATTGCAGCGGTTTTCATGGAATTATTCTGAGTCTGGCCATGGTAAAGGCCCTGCCGATGGTGTTGGTGCAGTTTTAAAGCGCACTGCTGATAGCCTTGTGATGTCAAACAGTAATATTGATACATTTGATAAACTTGTCACAGAACTTCTGAATGAAGAAAATATTCAACATGTTAATATAATTCCCATCTCTGCAAATGCTATCAATAATTTTAAAAAATCATACACAGGTCAAGATATTCAATTTCAAGGAACATTGAAAGTCCATCAGGTCACTTGGGATAGATCCAAGGGAGATCTTTTGTCCTTCAGAGAACTGTCTTGCTTTGAGTGTGATTATGGCTCAGACTGTCGTCACTATCATCTTGGCTCCAAGAAATTTATTGCAAAGGAAATTCTGAGCAACAATGGTGTTGCAGGTAAAAAGCAGGCCAATCAAACATCATCAAGAGGCCGAAGTGCAACAAAAACAACTGTAAGCAAGAGCAGTGAAAAAGCACCAACTGCACT